CGTGAAAGCACTTCGCATGTTGGCTCAAAAATGTAACTTCCCAGCACCGGAAGCACAAAGTCAGCTAAAAGATCAACTGATCTCAGGGACAAGCTTGAGAACAGTACGTTACGAATTATTAAAATCTCCAGATTTGAATTGGGATCAGGCCGTTGACTTGGCAAAAACTATCGAAATGGCCGACGCGAAGGCCGAATCATTACTATCACCAACGCCAAAACAAGAAACGACAGAGATGTCTAGCGTGAACGCTATATGGCCCGTAAACAAGGGCTCGCAGCAGAGAGTCTACAACACACCGGGGCAACGAGGACGAGCGAGGGGAAACGGCCAGGGACGAAGTACAGCAAGGGGAAGAGGAAATTTTCAACATCGAGCTCCAGCAAGCCCGAACGCGGCAACAGGGGCGACCACGAGTGATGAATGTTATTGCTGTGGGGTGAAGGGGCATCGCAGTTACGAGTGTAGTCTGAAAAGTAAATATTGTAGCGAGTGCGGTAAGCAGGGACATATCTATAAGACGTGTGTGAGAAACAGGAATCGACGGCCAGCGGTAAACCAAAATTTTGTAGACGACGAGACGGTGACGGACGAAATACAAAACGAAGACCAGCGCTTCACGAGCGACCGTACCCCCGAGACAGAGGGGGGAGTATATATGTATATGATGGATGAAGAAACAACAACAAACGAAGCGAGCGAAATAGTACCACCGTAGGTAGAAATAATTAAGGTAAACGGAGTATTATTAGAAATGCAAGTAGATTCCGGCGCGCCAATTTCCGCGATCTCAGTTGATATATATAAAAAAAAATTTTCAAACGTAACGATAAATAATCCACAAAGAGAACTGCGGGGATACGATAAAAAACCGTTAGCTACCGTAGGTTATATCAACGTAAATATAGAACGAGAGGCGGTCAATGCGAATCAAATACTGTACGTCGTGAAAAACGGAGGACCGCCGATTGTGGGGCGCAACTGGTTGCGAGATTTAAAAATGTGGCCATTAGCGTTCAATCACGTAACCGAAGATCACAAAAAGGGACCGGAAGGACAAAAACAGACAACCGCAATGTTCGAAATAAAACGAGAATTTCCAAAAGTGTTTGCGCCAGGTTTAGGGTTATTCACGAAGGGTGAGCTTACGCTAAAATTAAAAACAGGAGCAACCCCAAAATTTATCCAGCCTAGACGAGTTCCGATAGCTATGCGCACGGGTGTTGAGACAGAGATAAAACGTTTACAAACAAGCGGCATCATTTCGCCAATCGAGTTCAGCGAATGGGGAACACCTGTCGTGCCAGTAGTAAAAGAGGGGGGGAAGATTCGGTTATGCGGCGACTACAAAGTAACGCTTAATAAATTTTTAGACATTGACCACTATCCCTTGCCACGCTTAGAGGAAATTCTCGACGTCGTTCGAGGCGCACAGATATTCAGTAAGCTCGATTTGGCGGAAGCTTATCAACAACTTCCGTTATCAAAAGAAAGTCAAGAATTGGTTGTGATTAGTACGCATCTAGGTCTTTTTAAATACCATCGTCTACCTTACGGCGTGTCTACCGGTCCCGGGTCATTCCAGCGCGTGATGAGTACACTATTATTGGGAATGGCCGGGGTAATTGTATTCCTAGACGACATATTAGTAGCCACTCCTAGTTGGAAGACGCACGTTGAGCGTTTGCGCGAGGTCTTGATGCGTTTAAACGACAGTGGGTTACACATAAATTTCGAAAAATGTGAATTTTTTCAAACAGAGGTAAAATACGTTGGTTATCATATAACAGGAAGGGGAATTTATCCTTTAAAAAATAAAATTGATGCAGTTAAAGAAGCGCCGAGGCCCAAAGACGAATTGCAGTTGCGCAGTTTTTTGGGATCGATTAATTATTATAGCCGTTTTATAGAGAATATGGCGCAAAAGCTCAGACCGTTATTTGCGTGTCTAGAAACAGGGAAATTTGAATGGACAGACGAGTGTTCAAAAAGTTTCGAAAAAATAAAAAGCGAGCTCGCGTCGGAGAAGTTACTTATCCATTTCGACCCCAGAAAACCGATCGTACTGACTTGCGACGCGTCGCCGTACGGAGTGGGGGCAGTACTAGCGCACAGAGAGTCAGGAGGATTCGATAGGCCGATTTGTTTCGCGAGTAGGACGTTATCATCAGCAGAAAAAAACTATGCGCATATCGAAAAAGAAGGCTTAGCAGTAATTTTCGGGATACGAAAATTTTTCGGATATCTATGGGGTCATAAATTCATATTGCAAACGGATAATGCGGCATTAACGCGGATTTTTCACCCGGAAAAAGCAGTCCCGGAAATAGCAGCAGCGAGACTGCAGAGATGGGCGATTTTCTTGATGCCGTTCAGATACGAAATCAAACACATTAAGGGAAATTTCAATTACGCGGATTGGCTCAGTAGGATACCGATATCAAGTCTAAAAGATAAGGGAAAAGAACTCACAATGTTGAGCGACATTAACTATACGTATCTGAATTACGTCAAGGAGTTCGACTTCGCAACTCTCGATTGGAAAGTAGTACGTAAAGCGTCGCAAGAAGATAAGCTAATTAGCAAAATTATGCGTTACTGCGTCGATGGGTGGTCCGAGAGTGAACCAAAAGAGGAAAATATGCGAAACTTTTGG